CAAGTACACAAAAAGGACATTTGCTCAACCATGTTTGTAGCAGCTTTATTTGTAATAGCCAGAAGCTGGAAACAACCCAGATGCCCCTCAACTGAAGAATGGATGCAGAAACTGTGGTACATCTGTACAATGGAGTATTACTCAGCAATGAAAAATAAGGAAATCATGAAATTTGCAGGTAAATGGTGGGACCTGGAAAGGATCATCCTGAGTGAGTTGTCCCAGAAGCAAAAAGACACACATGGTATATACTCACTCATATAAACATACAACATAGAATAAACCCACTAAAATCTGAACATCTAAACAAACTAAGCAAAAGAGAGGACCCTAACTAAAATGTTCAATCCCCATCCTGAAAGGCAAAGAGGATGGACATCAGAAGAAATAGAAAATAGGAAACAACCCAGGAACCTGCTACAGAGGGCCTCTGAAAGCCAGAAGAAAACAGGATACAACCTTGGAACCTGCCACAGAGGGCCTCTGAAAGCCTCTGCAGTATAGACTGTCAAAGCAGATGCTGAGCCTGATGGCCAACTGATGGGTAGAGTGAATGGAATTTTATGTAAGAAGTGGGAAATAGCAACACATTACTTTAGAAAAATATAAAAATAAACAATGGTGCTGGTCCAACTGGAAGTCTACATGTAGAAAAATGCAAATAGATCCATACTTATCACCCTGCACAAAACTAAAGTACAAGTGGATCAAAGATCTCAACATAAAACCAGACACACTAAACCGCTTAGAAGAAAAAGTGGGGAATACCATTGAACTCATTGGCACAGGAAACAACTTCCTGAAGAGAACACCAACAGCACAGGCTCTAAGAGCAACAATCAATAAATGGGACCTCATGAAACTGAAAAGCTTCTGTAAAGCAAAGGACACTGTCCTCAGAAGAAAACAACAGCCTACAGATTGGGAAAAGATCTTCACCAACCCTATATCTGACAGAGTGCTAATATCCAGTATATATAAAGAACTAAAGAAGTTAAACAGCAAAAAAACAAATTAAAAAAATGGGGTATAATGAGGTATAGAGCTAAACAGAGAATTCTCTGCAGAGAATACCAAATGGCAGAGAAACACTTAAAGAAATGCTCAACCTCATTAGCCATCAGGGAAATGCAAATCAAAATGACCCTAAGATTTCACCTCACACCCATCAGAATGGCTAAGATCAAAAACTCAAGAGACAACACATGATGGAGAGGTTGTGGAGAAAGGGGAACCATCCTCCACTGCTGGTGGGAATGTAAACTTGTACAACCACTCTGGAAAGCAATCTGGCACTTTCTCAGACAACTAGGAATAGCGCTTCCTCAAGATCCATTTATACCACTCCTAGGCATATATTCAAAACATTCTCAAGTACACAATAAGGACAGGACATTTGCTCGACCATGTTTGTAGCAGCTTTATTTGTAATATCCAGAAGCTGGAAACAGCCCACATGCCCCTCAGTGGAGGAATTGATGCACAAATTGTGGTATATCTACACAATGGAATATTACTCAGCAATAAAAAACAAGGAAATCATGAAATTTGCAGGTAAATGGTGGGATCTGGAAAAGATCATCCTGAGTGAGCTATCCCAGAAGCAGAAAGATGCACACGGTATATACTTACTCATATAGACATATAATATAGGATAAATCTACTAAAATCTGTACACGTAAAGAAACTAATTAAGAGGGAGGACTCTTACTAAAATGCTCAATTCCTATCCAGAAAGGCAAAGAAGCTGGATATCAGAAGAAGGAGAAAAGAGGGAACAGTCAGGAAAAGTCAGGAGCCTGACACAGAAGACCTCTGAAAAGCTCTGCCCTCCAAACTATCAATGTAGATGCTGAGACTTATGGGCAACCTTTGGGCAGAGTGCAGGGAATCTTAGGAAAGAAGTGGGAAATAGTAAGATCTGGAGAGGACAGGAACTCCACAGGGAGAGGAACAAAACCAAAAAATCTGAGCACAGGGGTCTTTCCTGAGACTACTATTCCAACCAAGGACTATACATGGAGATATCTTAAGACCCCTTCAGAGATGTAGCCCATGGCAGTTCAGTATCCAAGTGGGTTCCATTGTAATAGGAACAGGGACTGTCTCTGACATGAACTGATTGGTCTGCTCTTTAATTACCTCCCCCTGAGGGGGAAACAGCATTACCAGGCCACAGAAGAAGACAAGGCAGCCACTCCTGATGAGACCTAATTGACTAGGATCAGAAGGAAGGAAAAGAAGACCTCCCCTATCAGTGGACCTGTAGAGGGGCATGCATGCAGAGGGTGGAGGAAGTGATGGATTGGGACTGGAGGAGGGAGGGAACCACGGGGGGAATACAAAGTGAATAAAGTGTAATTAATAAATTACACTTGAGCATAAAAAAAAGAAATGGAAAAAAAGGTTGAGTGTAAAAGGTTGAGGTTGAGCATTAAAAAAAAAAGAAATGGAAAAAAAAGAGAACCTTAACAGGTACCATTTAGTAAGGCATTTTTATGCCAAAAACAGAACACAAAGGATAGACTCTTCTTCAAACATTTAAGAATGCAAGTGTTGTAGCAGCAAACAATGAGAGCAGAAAAGAAGGTTGGAATCAGTTGGAGAAGAGAGACACAGATTCCCACCAAATATGTTCTGAAAACAAACCAATATGGCCTTGAGTTAGGAAACCAAGAAGCAAATATTCAATACATAAACCAGCATTAACTAAGGTGGTAAAATCTCAATGGCAACACCTATGTGTTCAATGAAGAGTCATGGGTCTCATGCATAAGTCCAACTCTGTCATTCATCCTAGCCAGATCCAAAATATGTTTATGGCAACTTTATCATCACCAGGCCAATAGAAATTGTAACTGATGGGTATGCGGTAAAGAACAATTTTCAAAATGTTTTACATATGATCATACCACTGGGTTCTGCTTAGGCCTCGAGTCTCCTTGGGTAAGGGACTCTTAATTGCATAACTGGGACAGAGACCTCACAGCCACTTACTCTCTATCTAGACCAGTTGTTCCTCACTGTAGAAGCCTATATATGCTTCAGAATAAAATTTCTTTGATGAGAGGGAAGAACTACACTTATCTCTGTGTGTAATTATATAAATTTAGAATACATTTAGAAGCTACATTGATTTAGGAAAGTGGCCATCATAGGTTCTCCTTTAGTGTTTATGGCCTCTCCATCCCGGGGTAGTTGACTAGATTTACAGTATTGGGCAGAAACACTTCCTATGGAGCAGCCCTTAAGTCCAGTAGACATATGTTAGTTTCTCCCAAGATGAAAATGCTGCTAGTCCACCCATGTGGATATCTTCATGTTGGTCATTGTTTTGGTTCAGAGGATCTGCATTTTGGTAGAATTATTTATTGCTTTTCTTCTTTGAATCGTACATAGCACATTTAGATACTATGAGAACTTATCCTCAGCGAGGAGTCTTCAGGTCAGTTCTAGCTAAATTCCTCCAAGTCCTATGTCTGAAGTGTGTGGTGTCCTAAGCAAAATATCTTCCCTTCAAGTTCTATGAGGCCACCAAGGACAATGGTGATGACCTATTTCATTTGGAAGAAACCCTTGAAGCCCCTGACCAACACTTTGTGGGTGAATTGTCCCTGCTTGACACTGGGATTTTTTTAGATTTAGCATTTGTTCTAAGTTTGACAAACTCTCATCTGAGATATTCTATGCTATTCTGTGCCATTAGAAGTAGTTTTGGGGGATTAGAAATTGAATTTGGAATTCTATTGTGCTCCCCAACCAGTAAGATAGCATGGACTTCTATGCTGTTTTGTTTTGTTTTTTTTTTTTTTTTTTCTGTACAGAAACATGAATCTTTTGAGAGAGACATTATGGTTTTTATTTCAGATCTCCTTTCCTTTACAGAGAAATAAATATGAGCACTAGAGCATTTTAATTTAAACCAGTATTTTGGTGACATAATTGAAATGAATAAAAACCTTGGCTTCCTTTTCCATGTTGCAGAAGAATTATCAGAGACCCTGACTCTAATTCCAGTGAGTGAGTACAGCACATCATGAAGATCTAACGTACCTGCAAAGGCAGACAAGAGGAGACTTTAAGGGGAAGAGATTTCTGGACAGTCTTTTGTGACCATGCTGTCTCCTACACAATGTGTAGGACAGAGAAGTACCTGCTTCTCAAAGACTCTTCTTAAGAGCTCCAACAGCTGTATTTCATGAGCAGCTTCACTAAGTAAAGACTGTCAGGGAGTGTGGTGGCTTGAATGAGAATGACCCCCAGAGGCTCAACATCTGAATGTCTGGTCCCCAGGTGGTGCACTGGTTAAGAAGTTTCAGGAGGTGTGGCCTTGTCAGAAGAGGAATATCACTGGTGGTAGGCTTTGTAATCTCAAAGCCAAAGCCAGGCTAAGTCAGTCTCCCTTTCTCCCCCTCTCTCTTTCTCTCTTTCTCCCTCCATCCCTTCCTCTCTCCCTTTCCCTCTCTCCCCCCCTCTGTCCCTCCTTCCCTCATGCTTGTGATCAGATGTAAAAGCTCAGCTGCTGCTCCAGGACCATGCCTGCCTGCCTGCCTGATACTGTACTGGCCAACATGATAGTCACCTTCTGAAACTGTGACCTAGCTCCCAAGTAAATGCTTTTAAATTGTCTTGGTCATGGTTTCTCTTTTCAGCAATCGGCTAGTAACTGAGATGGGGAGTTGAGCTGAACTCTGTAACTTGGACAAAAGAGAGGAAGGATGTAAATAACTTATGGAGTGAGACTGAAGCAGATTTTTAAAGACTACAGTCTATATTTCTCATTTGCATCATAAATTTGTGGGGTAATAACAGAAGATTGCTGGCGAATACTTCAGGACTTTTCTTGAGATATTTGCTGTTAAGACTTCCAGTTAGGAAGAGAATGTTATTTCAAGGGATCACAGCCTGGGTTGTCTCTAGCACTGGCTTCCATCCTGTCAGTCAGAATATCCACAGATCCTAGGTCTCTAGATATTTGACCTGAGACTTGTTGCTGTTTTTCAGGAAGCTGGTGAGCAGCATTGGAGGAAGCACACAGCCTCCCTCACAGGGCTGCTCCCCTGGGCCTCCTGCACCTGTGGTTTGTGTGCAGCTTCCCCTGCAGTCTCCCTCACTATGTCCCTCACAGCACAGTAGTACAGGGCAGAGTCTGACAGCTGCACTGAGGACGTCTGCAGGTGGAAGGAGCTGCTGCTCTTGTGGAGAGTGGCATGGAAGCCTCGGTGCTCTGTCCTCTTATTGTCTGTGGAGCTCTTCAGGAGCAGCTGAGGGGCTTTGTTGAGATATTGCACATACCAGAAGAGGGAAGGATCTGAGTAAATAGTCTGATAGGTGCAGTTCAGCATCACAGGCAACTCCTCTGTGACAGTGACCAAGCCTTCTGTCTGGGTCACTGAGTCTCCATTGCTCCTCCCTAAAAAACAAACAAACAAACAAACAAGGAGGAATTACTGTTCTATGTGAGGAGGAAGATTAAAGGCTGCCATAGTTGTAAGACAAAGACATCATTAACACTCAGGGTAAAATGTAACTTACTGAGCATGAAGAGGAGCACAAGAACTGAGCAGGTGACAGGAAGCATGTTCATAGAGAAAAGGACACTTGGTCCTTCAGTGCACCAGTCTCACAGGGCAAGTCTGCAAGTCTTCAGCAGGACCTCCTCAATCTCCTCACTCATGGACAAGGTCCTCTGTCTGCACAGGGTGTCTGTCATGTTAAGACACCTGAAGGAGATGCTAACCACATCTGTAAAGGCAGAGCCCTCTGATGATTTCCCTTGAAACCTCACCCTAAGGAGGCAGGCCTCAAGTCCCCAGTGAAAGCCTGAAATCACCAGTGGTCCTGATCTGTATGTATCCTATGTTATTTAGTGTGATGAGTGCACATAAAAATACACACAGACACACACACACACACACACACACAAATCTACCTCTGCAAATATTTATCTACTTTTTCTTACTGTAGTTCTTAGAGAATGTTCTTCAATGAATTTTGGTTATGTTCATCTACTTTTCCACTCCTGATATATCCCTCTACTCTTACCTACCTACCCAGTTCTGTTCTTCTCCCCGCATTTAAAATAAAACACATCAAGTTTTATGTTACGGATTGTGCTACCCATATACTGTTAGCTTCATGTCCTTCACAAGAGGGTGGTCTATGCACCATGAGCTTCACCTTTAAAGAAAGTGGAATCTCTCTCCCAGTAGGTAAGAAGTGCCATCAGCTCCTTGGCTCCTTCCCTCTCTGTGATGGATTTTTCTGGCCTGATCCTTTGCTAGTCTTCTGTCTGCTGCCAACCTCTGTGAGTTCATATTAGCAGCTGTCTTGCTGTGCCCGGAAAACACTGTTTCCTTGTGTTTGTCCACCACCTATGGCTCTTCTAGTCTTTCCACCTCCTCTTCCTTAATGACTGCTAAGCCTTGGGAGGAGGTCATGGGATAGAGAGTCCCATCTTGGTGGCTGAAGTATAGTCTCTTCTCTTCTTCAGTACAATGCGTTCTTGCTCTTTGATATTCACCATGTGCTGCAACAAGGGGAGGGGAATGATGAAAATATATTTCAATATTTAAAATATTTTTATTCATTTTTTGCATATTAAACTTTTATTTTTAATTTACTATGACAATTACATTTTTGTTGAGTTAAAACTGCAATTAATAATAGCACACAACTTATTAAAATAATATATTAAGTTTGACATTTTCGTTAATAAAGTTTTAACATTTAACATTCACCTCTTTTTAATTAATTATTTGTTTTAATATTTTAATTTAATTTTTTGATAAGCTGAAGGGTATACTTCATTAGTTTATTAATTAAAATTGATTTATTATTATGAATAATTAATTAAACTAACAACATTTATACTGAGGTAAGAATAGACAAATTATCAACTTAATTGCTTTTCTTTTCTTGAAATTTAAATCTTCGTTTTAAAATTTTATTTATTTTAAAATTAATTACAGTTTATTCACATTGTATCCCAGATGCAGCCCCCTCCCAATCTCACTCTTCCTCCCTCTTCACCTCTCCCACCCCTCCTCCAGGACACTGATAAGGGAAGTCCACCTTCCCTTCCATCTGACACTAGCCTATCAGGTCTCATCAGGGTTGTCTACATTGTCTTCCTCTGTGGCCTGGTAACGATGCCCCCACTCCTAAGGGACTTGATGAAACTGAAAAGCTTCCCTGAAACAAAAGACACTTTCATCAGAACAAAATGACAGCTACAGACTGGGAAAGGTTCTTCACCAACCCTATATCTGACAAAGGGCTAATATCCCAAATATATAAAGAAGTCAAGAAGTTAAACAGCAACAAACAAGTAATCCAATTAAAAAATGGGGTACAGAGCTAAAAGGAGAGTCTTAATAGAGGAATAGTGAATGGCAGAGAAACACTTAAAGAAATGCTCAACATCCTTAGTCATCAGAGAAACACAAATCAAAACGACCTTGAGATTTTACCTACACCCATCAGAATGACTAAGATCAAAAACTCTAGTGACAACACATGCTGAACAGGTTGTGGAGAAAGGGGAACCCTCCTCCATTGATGGTGGGAATATAAACTTGTACAACCACTTTGGAAACCAATCTGGCACTTTCTCAGACAATTAGGAATAGTGCTAGTTCAAGATCCAGCTATACCACTCCTAGGCATATACCCAAAAGTTGCTCAAGTATACAACAAGGACATTTGCTCAACCATGTTTTTAGCAGCTTTATTTGTAATAGCCAGAACCTGGAAACAGCCCAGATGTCCCTCAACTGAAGAATGGATACAGAAATAGTGGTACATTTACACAATGGAATACTACTGAGCAATTAAAAACAAAGAAATCATGAAATTTACAGGCAAATGGTGGGATCTAGAAAAAAAAATAATCCTAAGTGAGATATCCCAGAAGCAGAAAGACATACATGGTATATACTCACTGACATATAGTATAGGATAATCATGCTAAAATCTGTACACCTAAAGAAACTAAGCAAGAAGGAGGACTCTGAGAAAGATGATCAATCCTCACTCAGAAGGACTAAAGGCATGGACATTGGAAGGAGAAAACAGGAAACAGAACAGGAGCCTATCACAGAAAGCCTCTGAAAGACTCTACCCAGCAGGGTATCAAAGCAGATGCTGAGACTCATAGTCAAACTTTAAGCAAAGTGCAGGAAATCTTATAAAAAAAAAAGGGGGGGGGGATAGACCTGGAGGGGACAGGAACTCCACAAGGAGAGCAACAGAACCAAAAATCTGGGCCCAGGTGTCTTTTCTGAGACTGATACTCCAACCAAGAACCATTCATGGAGATAACCTAGAACCCCTGCACAGATGAAGCCCATGGTAGCTCAGTCTCCAAGGGATTTCCCTAGTAAGGGGAGCAGGGGCTGTCTCTAACATGAACTCAGTGCCTGGCTCTTTGATAAAATATTTTTTTCTAAGGATGGACAAACCTGTCCTAAGTTGTCTGAGTGAGTTGAAGCTAACTTTCTTATTTTGTGTTTTTAATGTCTACATTATACTTGGCACTTACAAACTAGTAACTGGCAAATGCTGCCCTGGAAGGCCCCTGACACAGGATGTGGATGGGGTCCCACGGTTTGAGGACAGGCTGCAGGTGCCCGTGGAGCAGTGTGTACTCGCAACACAGAAGTACTGAGTCTCCAGGCTGAGTGTCTGTGATGTGCAGGGAGAAGTGTTTGGCTTTCTTATCCAGTAAAACTGTGAGTCTTTGGTTCTGCTTTCTTTCCTTATTTGAACGAATGTCCATGATGAACTGAAGACCCTTCCCAGGTTCTTGCTTATACCAAGGGAAATAGTCTGAGGCACTGTCTGTGTACGTGCAGTTGATGACAGCGCTGGCTCCCTCCTGGACTCTCAGGATGGAAGGGTGCTGCTCCACCTGCTCTCCTCGGCTCATCCCTGTGCAGAAAGATGGAGAGAAAGAAGAAAGGTTGTCAGGTCATCACTTTCCAGGATTCTCTTTTCTGCAGTAACTAGAGAAAACCTGAAAAAAATATTGATTCCCCTAGATGACTCAGAAATGCCCACTGATTATTTTGTGGCCCTAAAATATTAACTCACCATCCATCTGCAGCCACAGAAACATGAATAAAGTAGGAACACATGTCTTCATTGTTCTTATCAATGAAATTGAAATCCAGTGTCAATCATGACAACCAGCAGGTCGGCTACAGCTGCCAGGGTGTTGTTCTTTCTCAGTAACAATTCTAGTTCTGGAGTCTTCCCCTCAGCCACTGAGGAAAGGGCTTAACTTCTGCACAGTCAGCACACAAGGAAATTAATTCTCTGCATCCTCCCCAGCAGTTGAGAATTACTGCCACCTTGTGGTTGAATCTCTAACCAGCAAAGAGTCTGGTTAAGTGTTCTCTGACCCTATGTGTCTCAGACACATAAAACACAATATGTCATATCACGAGGGTTCTAGTACTGAGAGAGCAAGGATAGTATTTGTACATACTAGTGAAGCTGTTTCTTTTCTTTACATGTAGAATAGGCTATGTATGATGCTTCATATCCGAATGTATGTACATAATATATTCATATATAAATGTATATATGTGGTGTATATATGGTTGTGTTTGTGAGTGTGTGCGTCTGTGTGTGTGTCACATTTGTTCTGTCTAGAACTGTTTCTTCCTTTCCACTCTCACACTGCAGAATTCTTGGATCATTCACCAAGCATTCTCCCGTTTCTTAGGGAAATATGCTTAGGTGTGTAGTTGTCCTTGTGAATTACAGCACACAAGAAAATGCTTTCTTAAGTCTCTTATGGGCTTTCAGTAGCAAGAAGACAGCGTTCTTTCTATTTCCGTGATTTCTTGTTGATAATATAACTACGATGTTTCTATGCTTGTATCTTGCACTCCATAGAAACCAGCCTGGAATCACAAATGCACATAGCTACTCTTAGAAAAGGTCTCATGAGTCATTTGGTCATGAGAGTGGCAACATCCATGTGGCTTATTCTCTCAGAATCCAGTGTTGTAGACTGAATTACTGATAGAAAAGTAGTGTGGATCCCCTGGAGAATCTGCAAATACTGCAACAAACCCAGCTTTCCTCCTTCCTCTGGCACTTCCTAGCACCCCTTTGATTCTAGCCCATGTTCTTTCCTTTGTGACTAATGCAAATATCTAAAAACACCATGTATCTGGAAATCTAGTGTATGTGGGCTCATGAAGCAGGTAGGCCAGAGTTACTGTCCTCTATTTCAGTTCCCTAGTACCATCCCCAGCCCTGTAACAGACCACTTGCAGGGGCCTATTCTTTCATTCTTCCTCTGTTCTCTGGGATTCAACTGAACCTCTCTGCATTTCCTCTCCCCCCTCACCCCTATTACTTTGTGTCAAATACCAACAGAGACACTCCCCCCTGGGAACCTGGAGGCCACACCTGTCTGGGAAACAGGTAACCCATCCTCACTCACCCTCATGCCCTACAGTGAAATTTCCCCAGTTTCATCCCTACCCATGAAGCAGACCACTTGAACGGGACTGTCCTTCTCTGTTTCCATATTTCAGGTACTGCATCAAGCCTTGCAGAAGACCCAGCTTGCCTCATTCTTATGAACCCTCTTAGCACTCTCTCTAATTAATCTCCTTTCCTTCATGCCATCCTCATATATATAAAAATAAACCTTTGGTAAGCCTTAGAGGTAAGCTTCACCAACAGAGTACAAGACATGGAATCTCATTGAAGACAAGGTGGAAGAAATGGACAAACATCTCAGTCAAAGAAAATGTTAAATCAAAAAAAAAAATAATCCTGGGAGAAAATATTCATGAAAGCTAGGACACCATAACGAGATTGAATCTACAAATGATATAAATAAAGGAGAAGAAACCTGTCATTCCTGTTGGCAGAGGCCTGGACTGTAACTGGGGTACTGGAGCTCAGCTCTGGGACAGAGACAATGGGTTCCATTTCCCTCAAGGGCAGTTATAGCACCTTAGGATGAGGCATAAGTGTGCTAAGTCAGGGTGTGGAAAAGATATTTTGTTGAGTATTTTTGCATCAATGTTCATAAGGGAGATTCATTTGAAAATTTCTTTCTTTTTTGGATCTTTGTGTGGTTAGGTATCAGGGTGACTGTGGCCTCATAGAATGAGTTTGGCAATGTTCCTTCTGCTACTATTTTGTGGAATAGTTTGAGGTGTATTAGTTTTAGTTCTTCTTTGAACATCCGGTAGAATTCTGTGCTAAAACCACAGAGAAATGACAAAACCAAGAGCTGGTTTTTGAGAAAATCAACAAGATAAACAAACTTTCTGCCAAACTAACTAAAAGACAGAGGGAGAGTATCCAAATTAATAAAATTAGGAATGAAAGGGATTGGATAAGACAACAGAAAATCCAAAGGTGACATCCAAAGAATTGTTAGATCACACTTTGAAAACCAGTGCTCCACAACATTGGAAAATCTAAATGAAATGGATGATTTTCTTGATAGATACCATGTACTACAATTAAATAAAGTTCAGTTTAGGAATTTAAATAAACTATAACCCTTAAGGAAATAGAAGTAGTCATCAAAAGCCTCTCAACTGTAATTATTAAAGAGAATATTGCTACTGTAGAGAATGCCTATTACTTTTCAGTCAGCCAAGAGAAATGGTGCCTGGAAGGTAAGAGTCCCCAGAGTATGGAAACAGAAGACTTTCACTTAAAGAACAGGTTCTTAGGGAAACAGTCTCTTTGGCACTTTCTAGGAAGAGGCCATGATGAAAAGTGTTTTCCTCAGTTTACCCCTCTCACTCTATTCCTCTCACTGCGTGATAAAGGGGGCAGGCCACAGGGAAATCTGGCAACAGAAGTCAGTGATATCTACATGGTGATTGTTTTCAAGATATGAAGAATATATCAGCACTGCATGAGCAAGACCTTCACCTTGGCTCAGAAGAAAGTGAAGGATGCCAGATGCTGTGTGGCAGAATCAGAGTCCCTGACAGCCTTGAGAGGCCAATGAGTGACATGGTGAGGGCGAAACCTGAGGTACAATAGGAACACTGGATGTTTGAGATTCCAGCAAGAGTAAATATCAGCTGAAAAAAGCTGCAGGATTTGAAAACTATAGTGCATGTGTGTGCTAGAAGCAAGAATGACTACATACTAGACATAATTCCTCACAGGAATACCTACTTCCAAATCATAACACTTCAGTAACCTACTCAATATAACACCTGATGAAACAGCACTTCCTGGAATTGGAAGAATACAAGATTCATCTTAGTGTTGGAAAGAACTATCTAGGCCTTAAGGCTGCATATGAAGCCTTTATGGCTTTCAGTAGTACTGGGCAGTCCTTCATCATGATCTGCAGGGACCCAAGACTCCTTTTTCTGATGTCAGAGTTTGGGGAATCTTTTGTGTTTGTTAATCTGAATCCTTCATTTTAAGGGAAGAAATACAAGGTTACTACACTTCAAGGCATGTATGTAAGATTGCCCAGAACTGAACCTGGGTTTTTGTTTTGTTTTTAATCTAAGCAGATGGTATTTTTGCTTCAATCAAAGATGGTTTTAAAAGTCAGAAGTTTTGAAAGGGTTCATCTTTCCTATTGATAATGGGTGTTTCTTCAAGAGAAGAGGGAAGTACCGATTTCATCCATAAGTAGGGTTTGCAGGAAGCAGCTCTGAGAGTTTGCATTACAGTAACATGCATGTGGCACTCCATCTGAGCACAGAAGTAAGCAGCCAGGAAAGGAACAGGAAACTGCTTTGAGTGGAGTCTGTGACTATCTGGGGAACGTGATCAGTTTCTTTTCTCTGCCAGCTAAAGTACAAGGCAGGAAAAATCTTGACTGCAAAACAAAGAAGCAGGGAAAACACAGTACACAGAATCAACTGATGAATAAAAGCTAAACAAAGAAACAAACACACAACTGTACGCATGAGCTTGAGCATGTGCACACATGGGGGGGCAGCAAGATGAAGAGGAAGAGAGAAAGAGAACGAAAGAAAGAGAGATAGAGGACAGAGAACACAGAGAGGACATTAAGGAATGCAAAATTCTCGTGTCTTCTCCAAGACTGGTGTTTGCAAGGGTCTTTAAGAGCTTTTCCTCCCCTCATTTAGGGTTGCTCAGTTTGAATAAACACAAGATGGATGATTGACCCACAGCTTTGACATAAGCATGTACTGATCAGGCCTAGAACTTGTTCAAGTCCAACAGCAGCAGGAGGCCAACTAATGGAGAAAAGCCTCACCAGGCCTCTGTATTATACTGCCAAGCTTTATCTCAGTTCAGGAGGCTGAAGAAAAAGCCAACCATTTTGGATTCCAACATTGTTGATAACTATATGGCACCTCTGACTACCTGTTTGCACAACAGTGAATCTATTTAACCCTATTCCCTCTGAGACAGTGGTGATTCTTAGTTGTCCACTATTTCTCTCTCACAGTTAAATTTATTAGTCTTCTCAGGGAAGGGCTTCTCTCTATGCACTGCCTGTGCCTCTGCAGTGCAGCCATTGATATTCTGTGGCTGCAGTTATTGTCAACATGTCCAGCCTCCTAGATGCTCGGGACATGGAATAATCTTCTCCTTGTAGCTTGTTCACTGCTAGACATAAACATGGGCTAGAGCTCAGAAATAAATCAGCACATACATTTTCCAAGTTCATTTACAAATTATCAAGAAGACCTGGCCTCATCAGTGATGCAGCTTCTGAACTTAGATGTCCCTGTTTCCATTACTGATAGACTGAAATCACCAGCTGGTTGTAGGCTTACAGCCCCCGTAACTCCCAGAGTTTATCCATGCTCCCCTTTATCACAGGGGATGTTGTTCTGACCCTCATTTGGAACTAGGTTCCAAAGAAAGAAGAGTTCCTGCTATGGAGTATGTATCTATTCTGTTTTCGAGAGCCCTTGGTTTTTAACCTAACCAGGCAGAGGAAAGACACACACAGAGAGTCACAGATACAGACACACACACACACACACACACACACACACACACACAGTGGTAATTGCTTAAAACCATGATTTAAAGGACAGAAGCACCACCATCTTGTCGTTTGTCATTTGGTGCTTGCCACCTCCACCTCATCCTGTCACTAGAACACACTGTGAGATACCTGAGTGTCAGCTGATTAAGAAGATATTTCAAAGA